CACCAAAAAAAAAAAAAAAGACTTGTTTGATTTGAATCTCTTGTTCATATTCTATGCTAATCTGATCCCAACTCCTTCCCTAATCTTGTTCTCGTGGTCGCATATTTGATAATTTGGTTATGCAAAATGCATGAAATTGAAGCGATGCCAAACTTTCCTGATTAATTGTCATTTTTATTTTTTGGATTATTGTGATGAGTTTTCGCTCCTATTAGCAAATTCTTTTTTTTTATGCATTTGATGTTTCTTTTTGCTAGGCTATTCTATGTATACTTCTTGTTAGGATCCGTGTTTGTCATCATCGCCGTTGTCGTGATTTCTATCAAAAAAAAAAAAACATCATCACGAGCAAAATATTTTTTTCCTCAAGAAATTTATTCATCTCTGAAAGAGTTTTCTTTTCTTTAAACCACCTGTGTTTTCCTATGATTTTAAAAAAAAATTAGAACCTGAGCTGAAAAAGGCATAAATAGCTAAATTGGGAAGAAAATGTTGTATGGGTTCTCTAGAGGAAATCATTTATGGAGAAAGTAGTAAGCCAAAGCCAATGTGTTCCACTGCCAATTTTAAAATTTATAATTGCGCTGTTTTTTATAGTGTTTGCACTGATTAATCACTATTTTTAATACTAATATCTATCTGTTTGCATTGGTACTTACTGATTATCCTAATATGATATCACCCTCTACAATGATCTAAACACCGCTAGTAATTAGGAAACATATCACTTATCCCTTTCTTGTATCATTATTTATGGAGGGGTCTCCGGATTTTTTTTTTTAAATAATTGTGCCTGCTTATACTCTTATATATTTTTACAACTTTGAGAAGATGATTGTTTTAGTATTTTTACAACTTTGAGCAAGGAATACAACTTCAGCTGCAGATTTCTTTGCGGACATGGATGATTCATAGTTGAATTCTCTCCATTGTTTTCCTATAATTCTCAATCAGGATATATGGATATTCATTGCTGAACGTCTTATTTGGTTTTTTCATGTCAAATGGCTTTATAGTGGTCTCCTTTATTTCTCTTTTTGTTGGGTAAATTGTATCATTTTTGTCCTGATCATATAGTTGGCTTATCAGATGCATCATGCTAAACCGATGTTTATCGATTTTATCCCGTCTATTTGAGCCCTTTGTGTCATTACCTGAGATGTGAGAGTTGTGTTTGCATAACAGTAAGTTGAATTATGATGGGGAGAGGGTAAAAAAAAGAAAAAAAAAAAAAGAAAGGCTTGTGATGGGAAGGCCTGTGTTTAAAAGTTCAAGCTGCCAATTTCTCTGTCTTTGAAACTAGTGAAATAGTCGTTAAAATTACTGAAAACCTAATGACATGGTTTGGCACTGATGCTCTATTGGGGACATGCTTCGGGTTTCATGCACATGAGTCATTGAGTTAAAAGCTGTATCCGGTTTCTCTTTTTAATTAACTTTTAGCCATACGTGTCATTTTCATATCTGGGTATTGATTTTCTGTATTCAATAGATATTTTGAATAATGAGTAGTTTATGATATCTTTGTAGGTGGATATAGAAGAGTGCCGAAGCTTAGCAAAGTCAGAGAACATTAGCACAACGCCGGCCTTCAAAATTTACAAGAATGGTTCAAATGTCAAAGACATTGCAGGATCTGACTTCAATCAGCTGTCAGCTAGAGCACTACATTAAAAGTTTTGAAACTTGAGGGGTGAGCTTGTAATGTGGGGAAACTTTAGCATGAAAAAAAAGTGTAAATTGTTCAAGTATCTGATAGCTTGTAATGTGGGGAAACTTATGTTTTATATGTAATTTGAATTAGTATTGGAACTTTAATGTTGTAATTGTTTGTTTTAATAATATATACAATTAATTTATATGAATATAATTTAGTTGTTCAATATTGTGTACATGACCCAAAAGTAGATTCTGCCAAAAAAAACTATTGTAGCATATCATCCTAGACGGAAATTCCGTTTAGGATGCTCAAATTCCGTCTAGGATGCTTTTTTTTTACAAAAAAATAAAAAAATTCAAAAACATCAATTTCCGTCTAGGATGATTATCCTAGACGGAAATTTTCGTCTAGGATACTCATTCTAGACGGAAATTTTTTCCGTCTAGGATGTATTATTCTAGATGGAATTTTCGTCTAGAATAATCCGTCTAGGATGTATTCTAGACGGTTTTGAATTCCGTCTAGAATATTCCGTCTAGGATATATTCTAGACGGAAATTCCGTCTAGAATACTACATCCTAGACGAAAACTTCCTAGACGCGTATCCTAGACGGAATTCCGTCTAGAATACTCATCCTAGACGAAATTCTGAGTATCCTAGACGGAATTTTCCGTCTAGGATACCTCATTTTTTACCAGTGGTTGATATAATATGTGGATAATTGAGATAAATTTTAGGGTAATACTTTTTTTGTATTATTAGTATAGTGCACGTGCTTTACGCGAGAGCATGCTTACTTTGTTTTATGCAAGTTTTCCAATCTTTTTTGTTGGTTGCAAAATAATTAAATGACTTGCATAGCAATAAGTTATGAACAGTTATAATTTTAATTTAATAAATATATTATACGATAAAACTATGTATAAAGAACCGTATGATTAATTATTATAGTTTAGATAAGTATTATAATTTATTCATAACTTATTTAAATAATTATCATACCATTAGTAAAAAAAGAAAAAAAATCCCTTCCATCTTGAAGAGCCATGCACAATGGCATATGAATGATGGATTTGCATGGACCATCTTCAGAAAATTAAAGAGATCCCGCCAAAGCTTTCAGCTTCTTCTGATACTGCACGCCGTCACAGGATGGGAAATTCGACTGCATGGATATCCAAATTCAACTGCATACCATGCAACTTGTGCATATACGAATTCCACTGCATGCATACAATGCCTTTTTTTTTACTTTTATATTTTTATTTTTTGTATCTACATTGCTAGTTGCTTGTTCTCTCCCCCCTCCCTTTCTTCTGGGAGACAACTGCTTAGGGTGTTTGGCATTGCTTTTGCTTACAAGTCCTCCCAAAACAGAGTTATCTAAAAGCACCCTGTGGAACATTGTTCTATTATATACTTTTTTTTTTTTTTTTTGGTCAATGAAATAAATTTTATTCATTCACCAAATGTAAGCTTTTGAGAACATCAAGAACCTCCTTTGTGAGGTATCAAGAAATCAAAAACAAATCAAAAAAAAAGATCATATATCTTTCTAAGCTGTTATAACAGAGACTAATCCATTCTTTGAGGTTATCCGCCAAGGAGCTATTAAGGACAATGATCAGTATGTCCATCTTGATTTCCTTTATCAATTGGTCTTTGCTCCTGCACTGTTGTTTGAAGATTCTACAGTTGCGTTCACACCAAATTTTGTACAGGGTGGTAGTAAACGCCAGTCTTTTGATCTTCACTTTGTCACCTCTACCTCTAAGCTTGTTACAGTACCAGTCCAGAAGATTATGCCAATTGCAGGCTCTCCATTTGAATTGGAGCCACAACATCACCTGGTTCCAAATCTCACTTGAAAAAGGGCAATCAAAGAATAAGTGGTCTCTGTTCTCTTGACCGGAACATAAGGTGCACATATTTTCACTTACGATCCCTCTCTTCATCAATCTATCCCTTGTTTGCAACCTGTTTTGGACAGCAAGCCAACAAATAAAGGAATGTTTAGGATAGTTCAAACCTCCCCAAACAGTGTTGCTCCATGGCACTTTACTAGAATTATGGGAGAATAGCTTGTAAAGAGAAGAGAGCTGAATTTTTGTATTTTTGTAGTATGAAGCTAAGAGCTGTTTCAGATTTTCCTCCCCTCCACATTGAATCAAAGCATTGTCTCTTATTTTCAACATCTGCTTCCAAGTCCAAGAATCCCCATTTCTTGCTTTTACTTGCCATATGCTGTCTCTCTTCAAATAATTACCATGAATCCATCTGATCCACAGCAGCTCTTTGTTGATGTGAACATACCACAGGTTCCTAATGGCAGAGGCTCTGTTCCAATTTGCAGCAGAATATATACCCAGGCCTCCCTGATCTTTAGATAAACAAATTTTCTCCCAAGAAACAAGAGCAACTTTGAGAGACTGGTCATTTTTCCCCCACAGATAATTCCTGCATAACTCATCCACTTTTTGAAGTACTTTCATTGGTAGATAATAGCTAGCAGTCCAATAGATTTGAACCCCAAGGATGACACTTTTTATCACCTGAAAGATTTGATTTTAATTAAATGCTTGTATTAAATGCTTCTATTATATACTTGAAAGATTTGATTTTAATTAAATGCTTGTATCAAAGGGAGTAGAATATTTGGAAGGTATTGCTTAAGGTTGGTTTTGCAACAACAATAAACCTTTCTTTGTCAAACTTTGGGGCGCACCTATATGTGAATATTTGCTTACATCCAGTTCTTTTGAGTTTTGAGGTCCACTTCCTCAATTAAATAATGCATCACCATGTTGGTAATTGCTTTGGCTCGAGTTAATTTTGTTGTGCTCTGATACCTATTGTTGCACGCCGTGCGGAAGCGTGCTCGACAACCAAACGAGTCGATAAGCCACGAGAGAAGAGAACCATATCAAATACGAGTGCAATCCAACCAAATACGACACAAAGCAAACCAAACACAGAGATTTAGATGGTTCAACAATTTTCTTACGTCAACGGGGAGAGGATGAGGAGATTTTACTATATGGAGGAGAATTACAAAGGGTTACAACTCACAAAATCTCACAAAATTAACCCTAACCAAAGCTGTCAACTCCCTCACAATATCTCCCTCTCAAAGTGCTGGCATAGCCCGTATCACATTCCTAATACACAAGGTGATACGAAATTAAGCTTACTCTCAATGCTACAACCTCCTAACCCAATAATTATATTGTATGTGAAAATACTTAAGCTCAAAGGGTGTGTGTGTAAATAATGAGTAAAATGAAATATATACTCAATTGAACATCTAGCTTAATGAAATGATAAAAAGGGAAAATTGCTTAGAGGAACCAAAAAAAATTGGCTCAATCATCCTCCTCCCCAGCCCCAAAACTCTAACCCCCAAGCCCTAAAATTGAAAAAAGAGTGCAACCAAGCCCCAAACCCACTGCCCAAGAAAAAAATTCCCAAATTACCCTTCTTCCCCATTTAAAACACAATCAATTTCTTCCTCCTAAAATCTGGGCAAAGACCTCCCCCTTCCCCCTCATCCGCCTCCTCCGCCTCCGCCTCCTCCTCCACGTGGGCCCCGCAAGGGGCGCCGCCTCAGCTCCCGATCGTCCAGCTGGAGGACGAGGAGGACCACGGCATCCGGCTGGTCCACCTCCTCATGACCTGCGCCGACTCCGTCCAGCGCGGGGACCCGGGCGTCGAAGGAGGGGGGAGGCGACAAGAGCGGCGTCGGCAAGGCGAAGAAGAAGAAGAAGGCGAAGAGCGTGGAGACGTATTCTAGAAGCTGGCCCAGGAGGCCTCCCTCCTTGCCCGCTACAACAAGAAGCCCACCATCACCTCCCGCGAGATCCAGACCTCCGTCCGCCTCGTCCTCCCCGGCGAGCTCGCCAAGCACGCCTTCTCCGAGGGCACCAAGGCCGTCAGTAAGTTCACCAGCTTCTGAACCGTTGGGCCGGGCTTTGGGTCCGGTCGTGTGCTCTGGTGTTGTTTGGGATTCAAGGGTCTGGGTTTCGCTGCTTTTTGGTTGCTTGTTGGAATTTCATTTTGTTTAGAAATAGCAGTAGGTTATTATGGTGGGTAGTAGTTTTTGTAATATAAAGTCGACTTTTGAAATTAAGTGTCTTGATTAGTATGATATATGTCTACTGGAATTGTCATCTCATATTTTCTTCTGTGTTGCGGAATTGTTCTTTGGTCTCCGCCGAGTCTTGTTTCATCTTTTCTTGTGCTTGTTTGGATTAACTCTTAAATATTTGGAAGTAGTTCTAGTTTTCTTGCGATTTCAGGACAACGTTTCTTTTTTGCTATTGCAATTTATCCTCAAGAGTTCAATCGGAGCTTGGCATGGGCTTTATCCTTATTTTATCTTCTGTGGGTTTAGTGTATGCAGGTGTGGGTGTGGCTAGCGAAGGAAATTTGAGTTTTGAGTTCATTGTTTGTACTGCACATTGTTGTAGATTGGTTCTACGAAGGAAAATGAGATGATGGGTTGGGATTGTAACATCCTGATGTATTTTTGTTTGATGGGTTGAAATCATTCGTAAGGATGATTTTGATCCAATTAGAGTTTAATTTGGGAGTGTTGTTATGTTTCTTAGTTATTCAAGGTTGAATGAGAAAATGAGGTATTTTTTGGAACATATATGTATCACAGTTAACCGTAAATGTGATAAATAAACATATATAATGTGATATTTCAATGTTACATGTGACAATTCAATCCTACATGTGACAGTTCTATCTTGTATGTGATATTTAGATCTGATTTGTGACTTTTGGGTGTTACATGTGACACTGAGACCTCATATGTCACGTTAACGTATTATATGTGAACGTTATACGTGTACTTCATATCAAGCACCTGTTACGGCTTCTCGGATCAATTTTAATGACTTCGGATCAAGCACCTGTTACGGCTTCGATCTCATCTTCCAGAACCACTCGGTGTCGGCGACCTCCTCATCGAGGTCGTCGGATCCGTCGTCGACAGGGCCGGTGATGAGGGAGTTGAATTACATGGGATTTTCTAGATTTATAAATGTTAACAATAACAATGGAGCGACGCCTTTGCATCTAGCGGCGAGGCAAAGATGATTTTTATTTGTTTTAAATCTGTTTGCTTTAAATTTGAGTTTTGAGTTCATTGTCTGTACTGCATATTGCTATAGATTGGTTCTACGAAGGAAATAGGATGATGGGTTGAGATTATAGCTTAGTTATTCAATGTTAAATGAGATGTTTGGTAACTTTCATTTACAGTCTTTCTAATGTAAGCAACACTCAATGTTATATGTAAATGAAAAAAGAAACATTGTTTGTGGTAAATGAAAAAAGAAATCAAGCGTCCATTTCAATGTTATATGTGGCAATTCAATCTTACACGTGACAGTTCTACCTTATATATGATATTTAGATCTGATTTGTGATATTTGGGTGTTGTATGTGATAGTTGGGTGTTGCTTGTGACATTTGTTATTTATACGTGACATTTTGGTTATTTTATGTGATATTTTGGTGTTTCCTGTGACATTTAGTGTTTACACGTGATATTTGGGTGTTGTATGTGATATTTGAGTGTTGCTTGTGATATTTGTTGTTTATACGTGACATTTGGGTGTTGTATGTGATATTTGGGTGTTGCTTGTGACATTTGTTGTTTATACGTGACGTTTGAGTGTTGTATGTGATATTTGGGTGTTGTATGTGATATTTGATGGGTTGAGATTATACGTGACATTTGACTGCAAATGAAAGTTACCAAACATCTCATTTAACATTGAATAACTAAGCTATAATCTCAACCCATCAAATATCACATACAACACCCAAATATCATATTTACTTTAAAAGAAATTGTAACCTTTTAACTTTGAATAGACCATAATATAAAAATAAGGGAAAATTGTTTGGAGGAACCAAAATAAGTTGGTCCATGCATCCTCACTCCTAGCGTATTATGCAATCAGAGAGGGATACCTCACATAGGTATCCCTCTCAGATATGTGAGGTATCCCTCTCTGATTGCATAATACGCTAGGGGTGAGGATGCATGGACCAACTTATTTTGGTTCCTCCAAACAATTTTCCCTTATTTTTATATTATGGTCTATTCAAAGTTAAAAGGTTACAATTTCTTTTAAAGTAAATATGATATTTGGATGTTGTATGTGATATTTGATGAGTTGAGATTATAGCTTAGTTATTCAATGTTAAATGAGATGTTTGGTAACTTTCATTTACAGTCAAATGTCACGTATAATCTCAACCCATCAAATATCACAAACAACACCCAAATATCACATACAACACTCAAACGTCATGTATAAACAACAAATGTCACAAGCAACACCCAAATATCACATACAACACCCAAATGTCACGTATAAACAAATCTTCCCTGAAATGTTAATAGTAGAGATATGGCCACCTATTGGTTTGGTAAAACCAGGAGAAAGAATGTTGTTCAGTATGAAATTACGCTAATCATGTATCATTGTTTGAAAGTGCTTCCTTTGATCCATGATATCTTAGTTTATGAAGATGCTCTTTAGGTAAGAGAAAATTCTACATTACAATAGTTTTTGCGAATTGGAAACTAGAGAGGCATTAAATAGTTGGTCGCTAGTAAAGATTTTATGGAAATTTATTTTACCTATGTGGGAGCATTGAAACTACGATCCACAGGAAAACTTCTTGTTAAGAGGATAGCTGAAACTATGAAAACATTTTATCGTAGTTGTCGAGTACTTGAGAATAATAAGTTTGAGGAAAACTTCTGTAAGAGGGATAGTATGTAATATCCTAAGTTTATTTGGAAATATATATGAAGAAATAAATGGACTTTTATGCATAATTTGTTTAGGGTTCTATTTGTAAAAGGAATTTATAAATACCCCAAAACCCTACTTCCCATCAGCTTCTCTTCTTCTTCCGTCTCTGTCTTTGCCGCACACAAAAAAAAAGTCATGCTAGCAGACTTGATTGGATCAAGAGCCTTCCCACGTCTAGAAAAGAATCCCATCTTTATTAAATCCTAGATTCAAAAAAGAAAATCTCTCCTTTGCACCCAGAACCCCTCTTTTTCATTGATTTCTCAATGTGAGCCGATCTATTTATCCAGTTTAGGGAAAGAGGGTATCTTGTTATGGGATTTCGTGATGGAGCCTCGTGCGAGGAGGAGTTCCGCTCGGTTGGAAGATTACCGCGGATCGTTGGGGAGATCTATTTAGGTTAGTTATCATCGAAGAATATGCGATTTGATGACTTTGAGTTTTAATGTTTTTAATTTTTAGGTTTTTATCCTATCAGGTATAAATGCCAGACTAATGGAGATGTGGACTCATGCCTTAATATTTCTGGACACATGTTTGGCTTCGTTACTTAGAATAATCACAAGATCTGGTTTATGTAAGGTCGAAGCTAGTAGAGAAATGTTTTAACCTTAGGAGCTGACTACATATACTCATCATCGCTGATTGGGATTATATCCTGTTGCATACTGACTGATGATATGCTCTAATTTAAGTTTCTACGAGGCACCGCTCAAATTGTTGGGAATTGGATTAGATTGTCTATCAAGCTAAGGTAAGTGGTAAATTTATGCATTGTGCATTGCGTATTTTTCTACAAAATGATAGTAAGTATATGTGGATTTGTTTCCTGATGGTTATATTCCTTTGTATGATTTACTGCTATATCATTTGTTGATTTGTTGATTTTGTGATGCTCATAGATATTTTGGTATAACCTATGCTTATTTCTTATCAGTTATGTCTTTCAATAAGTGGTAGGTTGAGATGTGCATATGTGTTTGATTTATTTCAATATTGGTTCTTTGGCATTTTGTATAATGTGATTAGCTTTACGAACTTTTTTATTGTTAAAGCATATGCATCTCAAGTCAATATACCGGTATAGTGTCGGATATAAGCAAGCTATTAAAACAGGACTCAATGTGCCTCTATGAGGTTTTATTTTAGCGCTAAGAGCCCAAATTGGGTCTCACGTCCGGGAACCACGGGCTTAATAATGTGGGGTTTTCCGAGTCAACCGAGTATGAAGTGTTGAACCGCATTGAGACGTAGCCATGCTTATCTTTATTCCATGATTTCTTAATTTTCTTAAATATTTTGTATCAACTACTAGAGTTCATTAATGATTCTATATCATTCTTATATTTGTTTGTTTATTTCTCATTGTAATGATTTTAGTTTTGCAAAACTAGTGTTAATGTATGATTTATCCCACTTATTGAGTTGTGAACTCATTGCGTTATTTCTATTCTTTTCAGAGACTCGGATTAGGTGTGAATTGAGGATTGTCAATTCTTAGAACAAAGCAAAGAATAATCGAGATTGTTATTGTCTTCTAGGTGAAAGGTTAAATAAGTCTTTAATGTTTGAGAGATGAATTGAGAGTTTGTAATAATGAGATTTCTTTCTTTAGGTGAGATTTATTTGGAGTTGAGGAATATTTATTTTATCAATTAATTGCTTTAGTTGACTTTTGGATTATAGAGAATATTTGTTGTTGGTTTTTATTCAAATGAGAGATTGTTTAGTGTTCTTTTTAATGAATGTATATTTTGGAGGAATTTTCACAGGTTTAGTCCGGCTCTAATATTCCTTTGAGGTTCGAAATTGGGGTCGTGACATCACGTTAACGTATTATATGTGAACGTTATACGTGTACTTCATATCAAGCACCTGTTACGGCTTCTCGGATCAATTTTAATGACTTTGGATCAAGCACCTGTTACGGCTTCGATCTCATCTTCCAGAACACTCGGTGTCGGCGCTCCTCATCGAGGTCGTCGGATCCGTCGTCGACAGGGCCGGTGATGAGGGAGTTGAATTACCAATGGGATTTTCTAGATTTATAAATGTTAACATAACAATGGGAGCGACTGCCTTTGCCATCTAGGGCGGCGAGGCAAAAGATGTTTTAATTTGTTTTAAAATCTGTTGCTTAAAATTTGAGTTTGAGTTCATTGTCTGTTACTGCATATTGCTATATGATTAGGTTCTAACGAAGGAATAGGATGATGGTTGAGATTATTAGCTTAAGTTATTAAAGTGTTAAATGAGATGTTTGGTAACTTTCAATTTACAGTCTTTCTAAATGTAAGCAACACTCAATTGTTATATGTAAATGAAAAAAAAAACATTGTTGGTGGTAAATGAAAAGAAATCAAGCCGTCCATTTCAATGTTATATGTGGCAAATTCAATCTTACACGTGACAGTTCTATCTATATATGATATTTAAGATCTGATTTGTAATATTTGGGTGTTGTATGTGATAGTTTAAAGGTGTTGCTTGTGAACATTTGTTGTTTATACGTGACATTTTGGTTATTTTATGTGATATTATTGGTGTTTCCTGTGACATTTAGTGTTTACACATGATATTTGGGTGTTGTATGTGAATTTGAGTGTGTCTTGTGATATTTGTTGTTTATAGCGTTTTACATTTGGTGTTGTATGTGATTATTTGGGTGTTGCTTGTGACCATTTGTTGTTTATTACGTGAACGTTTGAGTGTTGTATTGTGATTATTTGGGTGTTGTTATGTGATATTTGATGGGGTTTGAGATTATACGTGACATTTGACTGCAAATGAAAGTTATCCAAACATCTCATTAATCATTAATAACTAAGCTATAATCTCAACCCATCAAAATCACATACAACACCCAAATATCATATTTACTTTTAAAAGAATGTAAACCTTTAACTTTGGAAATAGACGCATAATAAAAAATAAGGGAAAATTGTTTGGAGGAACCAAATAAAGTTGGTCCATGGCATCTCAACCCCTAGCGTATTATGCAATCAGAGAGGGATAGCCTGCACATAGGTATCCCACTCAGATATGTGAAGGGTATCCCTCTCTGATTGCATAATAACGCTAAGGGGTTGAGGGATGCATGGAACCAACTTATTTTGTTCCTCCAGAACAATTTTCCCGCTTATTTTTATATTATGGTCTATTCAATGAGTTATAAGAGTACAATTCTTTTAAGTAAATATGATATTTTGGGTGTTGTAGTGAATATTTGATGGTTGAGAATTATACTTATTATTCAATGTTTAAATGAATGGTTTGGTAACTTTCATTTGCAGTCAAATGCAGGTATTAATCTCAACCCCAATCAAATATCACATACAACACCGCAAACTATCCATACAACACTTTCAAACGTCACGTATAAAACAACAAATATCACATAGCAAGCACCGAAAAAAAAAAAGAAAAAAAAAAAGCAAATTCACAATACAACCCCCAAAAGTCACCGTATAAAGCAACAAAATATCACAAGCAACACTCAGATCATCACATACAACACCGCAAATGTCACTGTGTAAACACAAATTTCAGCAGAACCAAATATTATCACATAAAATACCAAAAAGTCACGTATAATAACAATATTCACATAGCAAACACCAACCTATCACATACAACACGCCAAATATCACAAATGCAAGGATCTAAATATCATATATAAGGTAGATCTGTCACGTGTAGAATTGAATGGCACAATATAACATTGAATGTGAAGCGCTTGATTTTCTTTTTTCATTTACGCACAAACAATGTTTCTTTTTCATTACATTAACATTGGGAGTGTTGCTTTACATTAGAAGGACTTGTAATGTAAAGTTATCAAAACATCTCGATTCTGATATCTATTGAACTACTAAGGCTATCGATCCGCACGCAATCACGTCGTATTCTCGCCTTCGTAAGACCAATCTATAGCAATATGCAGTACAGACAATGAACTCAACAACGTCAAAATTTAAAGCAAACAGAATTTAACAACCAGAATAAAAAATCATCTTTGGGCCCTCGCGCTAGATGGCAAAAGGCGTCGCTCATTGTTATTGTTAACATTTATAAATCTAGAAAATCCCATGTAATTCAACTCCCTCATCACCGGCCCTGCGCGACGGGATCCGACGACCTCGATGAGGAGGTCGCGACACCCGAGTGGTTTGGAAGATGAGAATCGCAAGCGTAACAGGTGCTTGATCCAAGTCATTAAAAATTGATCCGAGAAGCCGTAACAGGTGCTTGATATGAAGTACCGTTATACGTTCACATATAATACGTTAACATGACATATGAGGTCTCAGTGTCACATCGTAACCAGTGCGCCCAAAAGTACAAATCAGATCCTAAATGATCACATAGCAACGATAAAACTGTCACATGTAGGAATTGAATTTGTCACATGTAACATTGAAATATCACATTATACTATGTTTATTTATCAGCATTTACGGTTAATACTGTGATACATATATGTTCCAAAAAATACCCTCATTTTCTCATGTCAACCTTGAATAAACTAAGAAACATAACAACACTGCTCCAAATTAAACTCTAATTGGATCAAAACCATCCTTACGAAGATCTCAACCCATCAAAACAATAATAACATCAGGATGTTAACAACGCCAACCAATCAATCTCCATTTCCTCGTAGAACCAATTGCTACAACAATGTGCAGTACAAACAATGATACTCAAACTGAAATTTCGCTTCGCTAGCCACAGGCCCACACTGCATACACTAAACGCCACAGAAAGATAAATAAGGATAAAGCCCATGCCAAGCTCCGATTGAAGCTCTGAGGATAAAATTGCAATAGCAAAAAAGAAACGTTGTTCCCTGGAATCACAAAGAAAACTAGAACTAACTTCCAAATATTTAAGAGTTAATCCAAACAAGCAGGGAAAATTGCTTAGAGGAACCAAAAAAATTTGCTCAATCATCCTCCTCCCCAGCCCCAAAACTCTAACCCCCAAGCCTATAAATTAAAAAAAAGTGCAACCAAGCCCCAAACCCACTGCCAAGAAAAAAATTCATCCCAAATTACCCTTCTTCCCCATTTAAAACACAATCAATTTCTTCCTCCCTAAAATCTGGGCAAAAGACCTCCCCCTTCCCCTCATCCGCCTCCTCCGCCTCTCCTCCTCCTCACGTGGGGCCCCGCAAGGCGCCGCCTCAGCTCCGATCGTCCAGCTAGGACGAGGAGGACCACGGCATCCGGCTGGTCCACCTCCTCATGACCTGCGCCGACTCCGTCCAGCGCGGGACCCGGCCTCGCCCTCTCCCTCCTCGACGAGATGTGCCCCCTCCTGACACGCGTCGGCACCTCCTTCGGCCTCGGGAAGCGGCGGCAGCTTCTCGTCGACGCCTCAGCCCGTCGGATCTACTCTCCCCAGATCCCCGGCCCTCCCAGTCGGACTTCGCAGATCCTCTACCACCACTTCTACGAGGCCTTGCCACCTACCTCAAGTTTTGCCCACTTCACCGCCAACCAAGCCATCCTCCGAGGCCTTCGACGGCCAGACTGCGTCACGTCATCGACTTCAACCTCATGCACGGCCTCCAGGTGCCGGCTCATCCAGGCCCTCGCCCTCCGCCCCGGCGCCCCCTTCCTCCGCCTCACCGGCATCGCTCCCCCCCCCCCCCGACGCCGCGACTCCCTGCGCGAGGTCGGCCTCCGCCTCGCCGAGCTCGCTCGCTCGTCCACGTGCGCTTCGCTTTCCGCGCGTCGCAGCCAACCGCCTCGACGACGTCAAGCCCTGGATGCTTGTTGGAATTTCATTTTGTTAGAAATAGCAGTTGGTTATTATGTGGGTAGTAGTTTTTGTAATATAAAGTCGACTTTTGAAATTAAGTGTCTTGATTAGTATGATATATGTCTACTGGAATTGTCATCTCATATTTTCTTCTGTGTTGCGGAATTGTTCTTTGGTCTCGCCAGTCTTGTTTCATCTTTTCTTGATGCTTGTTTGGATTAACTCTTAAATATTTGGAAGTAGTTCTAGTTTTCTTGCGATTCAGGACAACGTTTCTTTTTTGCTATTGCAATTTATCCTCAAAGTTCAATCGGAGCTTGGCATGGCTTTATCCTTATTTTATCTTCTGTGGGTTTAGTGTATGCAGGTGTGGTGTGGCTAGCGAAGGAAATTTGAGTTTTGAGTTCATTGTTTGTACTTCACATTGTTGTTAGATTGGTTCTACGAAGGAAAATGAGATGATGGGTTGGGATTGTAACATCCTGATGTATTTTTGTTTGATGGGTTGAAATCATTCGTAAGGATGATTTTGATCCAATTAGAGTTTAATTTGGGAGTGTTGTTATGTTTCTTAGTTATTCAAGGTGAATGAGAAAATGAGGTATTTTTTGGAACATATATGTATCACAGTTAACCGTAAATGTGATAAATAAACATATAATGTGATATTTCAATGTTACATGTGACAATTCAATCCTACATGTGACAGTTCTATCTTGTATGTGATATTTAGATCTGATTTGTGACTTTTGGCGTGTTACATGTGACACTGAGACCTCATATGTCACGTTAACGTATTATATGTGAACGCTTATACGTGTACTTCATATCAAGCACCTGTTACGGCTTCTCGGATCAATTTTAATGACTTCGGATCAAGCACCTGTTACGGCTTCGATCTCATCTTCCAGAACCACTCGGTGTCGGCGACCTCCTCATCGAGGTCGTCGCGATCCCGTCGTCGACAGGGCCGGTGATGGAGGGAGTTGAATTACATGGGATTTTCTAGATTTATAAATGTTAACAATAACAATGGAGCGACGCCTTTCATCTAGCGGCGAGGCAAAGATGATTTTTATTTTGTTTTAAATCTGTTTGCTTTAAATTTGAGTTTTGAGTTCATTGTCTGTACTGCATATTGCTATAGATTGGTTCTACGAAGGAAATAGGATGATGGGTTGAGATTATAGCTTAGTTATTCAATGTTAAATGAGATGTTTGGTAACTTTCATTTACAGTCTTTCTAATGTAAGCAACACTCAATGTTATATGTAAATGAAAAAGAAACATTGTTTGTGGTAAATGAAAAAAGAAATCAAGCGTCCATTTCAATGTTATATTGTGGCAATTCATCTTACACGTGACAGTTCTACCTTATATATGATATTTAGATCTGATTTGTGATATTTGGGTGTTGTATGTGATAGGTTGGGTGTTGCTTGTGAATTTGTATTTATACGTGACATTTTGGTTATTTTATGTGATATTTTGGTGTTTCCTGTGACATTTAGTGTTTACACGTGACATTTGGTGTTGTATGTGATATTTGAGTGTTGCTTGTGATTATTGTAAAAAAAATACCAATATTTGATTGATAGCTATTGTTATAATCCAACCCTACTGAAGATAAATATCGTGTCCATGTACCCTTCAAACTCAGGGTGCAATCGTCAAGCATATTTTCAACTTCAATGTAGTCCTCATTGATGATTTATTTTTCAAAAGGAAAAGATGCAACTGAAATCCACTTTTATTCCCCAAAGAATTATTGTTCCATTCCTCTAAAACCTTGGTTGAAACTCGAATCTTTATAAAAATACCAATGGGCATCCTTGTAACACAAACTACTCATATATTACATAGCAAATTTTCAAGGAAAAATGAATAATTTTACAAGGCAAGAAATGAGTCCACTTAGTAAGCTAATCAACAATATTAATCAACAGTATTCACATAATATCATGACCACTCAGTCTTGTTGGAGTTCTTGTCAAAATCCACGATTTTCTCCTTTCATTTTGATGCATAACTTGAAAAAGATTGAAATAATCCACCAAGGCTTCTAATGATCAATCTTCCTATGCTGACATGATAGACATTTTGACACAAATATTATAATTTTTATTTTTAATTATTCCACCAATATTTTCTTGTAAATTTCTAAGCAATTTCATGCTTCAAAGATGTGTTGCAAACAATGTGTCGTCTAAGACTGCTCTCGTCAAGTTTGGGTCATTAATAATGCACAATCTATTTTTGAATCTTATAGCCTCATTATGAACACAATATCGCAACAAAAAGGTTGCTATAACTCAATCTTAAATCTAACCAATGAAGGAGTATCACTCTTTGCTATGCAATTTCCACATGTTAAATCTTAAGATGAGTAAACATTATTCTTGGTCTATAAATTCAAATATCAAGTCATCTCAAACCTCCAATATTTATCTCAATTTGCTGATCAAAGCAGGTCATATATTTGACTCTTTAATCCAGTGCATCATCTAAAGATTTGTTTGTTGAGAAAAAAAAATGGTAACATCATAATGTTTCATCACCTCATCATTTCTCTTGGATATTTAGCTCCTTTAAGAAAAAAATAGTATTTAAGACCTCTATGTGTAGTTGTCGTAGTTGCCTCATCTACTCCTACATAGATAATATCTCCAAAATCTTCATCATAATGACTAACATTACATCACATATTGGGTAATTCCATTTGTAAGGCTTAACTTATCGAGATGCATATGCTACAAGTCTCAATTTGCACAAGACTATACCTAAAACAAGCTCCAGAAACAACAGTATATGTCACAAATCGATCCTTCAACTCATGATACTCTATCCTGCACTTGTTAGAGGACTGAAAATAAATCACACAATCAATATTGGTTGAAAGACGTTGAAAGCTATTAGTATATTAATAAACTAAAGGAAACAATCTTTGATCAAAATTCAAAACCATTAACTTTATATAAAAATTTAGCTCTGTTATGATGTTGCAAAAATAATCCTCAAGCATTCTTTTGCCCACCCCGACTCTAGAAAAATATCCATACATCATCAAAGAGGCCACTATAAATTGATCCAGTGACAATTGGTCTATCTCATTCACCAAACAAAATTTATGAAGTCTGCCAATGCATTATCATCATGCTGGTGTTATCAAGGAATAGTATCATAATTCATCATAACAATCATCAATAACATTTATCTATGATATACTCAAGTTATGTATATAGGCGCATATTTAAGTAATAGCCACATTTTTACCATGTATTATGCTACACAAGCTATATATGTAATTCCTTAAAAAATCAAAACTAATAGCATTCATAATCTTCCACAATTATAAAGTCGGTAGTTCTATTTTCTAACTAGAATTCATACATAGAATTTTCTATAATCATTTAACCAACTGAGTTGGCATACAATCTACTATAACATCTCAAAATACAACATCAAATTTCTTTTCTATAAATCTCCAATAATAATTTCTCACATCAAGTGTCATCACAACTTAACATCACTAAAAATAAATGTATTTAGCATGAAAGTTTAACCATAATAATCATCAATAACTAATCCTTGGCATATTCCTTATCATGATAGCATATGTTATCAAATAATATTTTCATGCGTCACATATGTCAAGCTTGTCTCCAACTAAGCTAAACTAATTCCTTTATCCCTAGGAAAACTAAACAAAAAGGAATTATGTAATCTATGAATCTAAAATCATATACCTCAATAACTAAATTTGATCAAATAATATTCATATTGTCCTCGACCAGACTTCAAAATAAATCTTTCACCTCTATACATCAGAATCCAATATATTTTTCTTTCATCACTTGACCATCTCAAAAATCAATTAGGACCTACAGCCTAAGCTCTGCTTGGGCAGTGGGTTTGGGGCTTGGTTGCACTCTTTTTTTAATTTTAGGGCTTGGGGGTTAGAGTTTTGAGGCTGGGGAGGAGGATGATTGAGCCAATTTTTTTGGTTCCTCTAAGCAATTTTCCCTAATAAAAAATATAAATTGCTAGAAATTGAGTTTAATAAAACTTCTCTGAAGACAAGAGAGATGGAGATGAAAAATTGAAGCTCAAACCAAAATGATCTCCTCTTCTTGTGAAACCATCTTCACATAAACAACACCCTTAATTTCCTTTGAAATACTTTTTAAACAAACTTGCCAAAACTTGTTTTAAACACTTCTTTGATAGATGTTGTATTGAGGACTGAAGGGGTATATATAGAGTCACAAAACAAACCCCAAAATCAAGAAAAAACCAAAGAAAAAGACAAAATCCTGAAAAATCAGCACATTAGAAAACTAGTCGTTACAATGTCATCAGTCGACTGATGGTATTGTTCAGTCGACTGATGAGCTGACCGATGGAGGTCGTTCATCTTTCATCGGTCGACTGATGAGCACATCAGTCGACTGATGAATTGCTTCGGTCGACTGATGAGCACATCGGTCAACTGATGAACTGCTTCGGTCGACTGATGGTTCATCAGACGACTGAGCAGAAACTTCTGCTATTTCCAACGGGTTTTATCGGTCGATCGGCGTTTCATGTCAGTCGACTGATAACATAAACTCAGCCTGAATTTATTTGAAAATCTAATTTTTGAAGTCCCTGTAAAAATAGCAAATAAATTCTAAAAAATAAAAAAATTGAGAAAATATTTATAAACATGAAAATGAACATGTTACAAAAAAAATTCAATTTGCACCTCCCAAGTGTGAAAACTCACCATTTTCCAAAATCGGTCAAAATACGAAATCTCAAAAATACTTGATTTTGACAAAATAATTTCAAACAAGTTTCAAACTTCTTTTGAATGGATTATTAGACTTTATAA